GGTAGTGTAATTGGCAAGGGAAAAAGGATAAAACTAGTAGTCGGCTTAGGGTGAGGGAACCGGGGGTGTAACTCGTCTAAGGGAGTATCAGACAACCCATGGACCTGGGTAGCAACTCACCCTCACCCTCAACCCAGATAAGATGGATAACCGGGTAGCACCTGCCTATAACCGATCGTCATATCAACTTATTAAAGCCTGTAACCATCGATGGCACATTCATTACTATGTTACACAGTACTAATCATCTTCACTCATGGAGACAACGGTGGTTACGCGGTTATGAAACTCAAGAGTCACTCATTAATTGAGGCTATTGATGAAGCAAAGATACTCACTATATAAAGGGGCTCCTGACATAGGGATAAGTGAGACATTCATCTTGGGACGCACGCATCACTGTCGTAGCTTCCAAATACCCCAATCATCTCATAAACTCACTCCGGTAGGCTCCCCCTAGCAACCTCCCAGAAAGTCGGTCAGATATTTATTCCAGACAGGAACATGTTCGATTAAACCTTTCAGCTAAACCATTTTGCTGGGGAGTACCAGTAGTAGTTATGTGCCTTGAAATACTAGACATAACACAATAGTTGTTGAACACTCATTGAAAAATTCAAGATCATTGTCTATTCTCAACCTCTCGACTTTGTTTCCAGTTTGGTTTTCCACCAGAGTCTTCCAACTTTTAAAAACTTCAAAAGTTTCATCCTTAGTTTTCTGAATCAATACCCGCAACTTCCGTGACTAATCATCAACTGTGGATAGAAAATATATTCCACTTGAGTGTGACGGATTCCTTGCAGGCCCCCAAAGATTAGCATGTATATAATCAAAGGATCCATGTGTTATTTATTTACCTTTATTAAACTTCACCCTACACGATTTACCAAATATACAAGGTTCACAAAACTCCAACTTTTTGACCTTGTCACCACATAGTAGTTTTTTTTTATAATTCGACCAGACCTCTTTCACTGACATCCAAATCTCTTGTGCCATATCTTATTCTTTAACACATGTTTCGTGGAGGAAAAATCTATTGATCCACTAACAACGTCAACCTTAAAGGTATATAAGACTTGTTTCTTCATCCCTCTCAAAACTTCCTTCGACCCCTTAATGACTTTCAGGATACCCTACTCTCCTTTTGAAAACATATCATTTCTTATCGAATTCACCAAGATAAATCAAATTTCTCTTCAGATCAGGTACAAATATGACACATTCAATAACCTTATTGACTCATCACGGAGCTTGAATCTCACAGATCCAATACATGTAATCTTGCAAGCTTTGTTGTTTCCTAGCAACATTTATCCATCATCTTGATCACATAATTCCTCAAATACATCTTTTTTGGATTCATGTGCAAAGTACACCCTGAATCCATAATCCACTCCTCACTCGAGTCGCTGCTTGAAACCACAAGAACGTTAGATGATTCAAAATCATCTTGCATAATAATTGCATTGCCATTATCCTTATCTTCATGATTATTCAAGCGTTCATGGAACACCTTCTTGTATGACATTCCTTCTTACAGTGATAACACCTAATTGCAGGAGTATCACCACCATAAGATTTTTGTTGACCTTTACCATTTTTCTTCTCATACCTGTCATCTTTCTTCAAGAATTTCTCCTTAACAGACAATCCTTCACCAACAGGTGATGGCTTATGCTCCTTTCTTTTGTTTATATCCTTATAATACAAGGCTTATTAGACTTCTTCAAATGTTAGGGACTCTCTTCTATACAAGAGATTTTCTTTGAAGTGAGCATGAGATTTAGATAAAGAACACAATAATAACAACACTTGATCTTCATAATCATAATAACCTCGATATTCTCCAGATCAAGAATTAGCTTGTTGAATGTATCCAGCTGCTTCGTCAAGACTCTATCTTCCCTCATCTTGAATGAATACAGGGCGTGCTTCAGGTACAGATGATTTACCAGGTATTTCCTTATGTATAAACCTTCGAGTTTGCTCCATACACCTATTGTCGTCTTCTCATTCGAGACATGTTGAAGAATATTATTACAAGGATCAATACAATGACAATGCAGGCTTTTCGGATCATCGTCGTCTTCTTCTTCTTCGTTAGCGCAACATCCATCCTTTATGATCCTTTAAACGCTTCTAACAAGTCATGCTCAACCAGAAGAGCTTGCATCTTCAAGTGACATAAACTAAAATCTTTCACTCCGGTGAATTTTTCAATCTCATATTTTATTGACGATATCTTCTTCTCCATGCTCAGCGCACCAGTTTGTTGTGATCAACGTTGCACTAGGAATAAAGTGATCTTGTGAGAAAGAGATATTTCTTCAACAAACACAAGAAACTTATTTCAATTTTTGAGAGAGAGAGAAGAAAGATAACAAAGTTGGTTAAAACGGTTTTGCTATTCACTTTCTCAATAATAGGGCTTACATATTACAAGTGAATAACAACCAACTCTTAACCATCTCTCAACAACCTGAGAGAGTAGTCTATTTATAAACTACAAGTAAACCTAATCACTAAGCTAACTTAACCAACAAGCTAACTTAAAGAATTGGGCTAACATACTGATCCAATTCGACATAATAACATAGCATATTTTGACTGTTGCATGCTTGAGCGTACTTCAACTATAATATACAAGGCTTCAACATCAGCATGTGAACAAACTTCAACTTGATGCTTAATCTTTATCGAATCATGAAGCTACCTTTATCCCTTGTCGAGATCAGAGTTCGATCTAAAAAAATTGGTGTGGCTTTAGCCATTTCCGGCCTCAACATGCGTATGCCCATGGTGAAGAGAATTCCTACCCCCTATATCAGTTATAATGCTCATGTACATGTAGAAGTACTCATCCTTCACTCCTCGAGGATGCCTCAGGCATGTCTTCTTTTCCTTAACACATGGCTATAGAAAAATATGGCCTTAGCTCCCGATGGTTGATATACATAAGCCTTAGTAAAATATGTTCACTCTAACTTCACTATTAATCTAACTTCACTATTAAACACATAATTGATGTTCACGAGTTCACCACTTAAACAAGTCTCTCTTAAGTTCGAGGTCGCCATTGGTAGCCTAATTGGTCCTACCAATGACGACTAAAACAATATTAATATCATTAATATCATTTCAATCAGAAATACTACTAGAACTAGAATCATAACTTCCAAACACCCCTACCTCAAAAAGTTTTTAATCGATCTCCCCAATGGCTCGCTTCAAATTTGTTATACAACAATTTCACTTCCTACACCTCTTTTCATACTTTTCATATTCAATCAAATTATCATTCGCATCGTAATTCCTAAATAGCAAAGAGGGAGAGGGAAATGTGTGTGGTAAGGCTTTGTTTGATTAAGTATCCAAGTTATAAGGACATACAAAATGGCAAGAAGAAATAGTTGCTAAGTAAAATATTTACCCAACAACAGTGCGATGAATATGGGACGCAAATGTTATGATATTAATAAAAGGGAAATTTCTCTCTCCTAGAACGAGTAGTCATCATTAGTGTAATAACATCAATGACTTTGATCACAGACATGCAAGTTAATGGACAGTCTAGGTTACTTGATCATTCCCAAGACATTTTTATTCATTTTCATGATTAATTACATACTTAATTATTTGAGTTCAACCCTTTGATTTGAAAATCAATTGTCTATATCATTTGGACGAACACAATCAAGTCCAGTCTCAACCCTATATATGACACACAAATATTAGCATTATATCATCTCCTCTTAGCTACTTATCATAGGTAAGATAACATGTCCTCTTACCTACTTATCATAGATAAAATAACATATATTGTACTCCTGTAAATATAAATATATATTGTTAAGAATTTTGGGCTCAAATGAACCATGTATGCCTATTAACACACTCTTTTTTTAATAAAAAAATAATCAAATTGGGCTTTACATAAACTATTGGCTCTATTTTTTTTTCTTTCCATTTTTCTCTCTATTTCTCTCCTTCCTTTTCATCTCTCTCTCTCTTAATATCATTTTTTCTCTAAAACAAATTATTTTAAATAAAAAGAGAGTGGGATTAAGAGAGATAGAAATAACAAAGAGAAATGGAGAAAAAAATAGGAGATGATCCAACTCCGGCTCCATTTTGGACTCCATCATCTCTGACTTTTAAAGAATTTGGGTTAAACTAATCATGTTAATTACACACTCCTGTGTTGTAATCCTATTATTGTCATCAGCATAGCTTTAGGTACAATGATATTTTTCACAATCTATGTCATGTCTATAGGACTTTCATACTTATTGTTCAATCAAATGGTGGTGCACATAACTCCTAATCATATAAAGTGAGATCAAATGGTGCACATAACTCCTAATCATATAAAATGAGATTTCTTTCTGATCAATTTTTTTCTTTCATGCATGGACCATTTGGTAACAGAAAAATCCGGTTTATGAGCTTGGTGTTTCCTATGTTGAATGATCATTTTGTATCACAAACTGAGTTAGGCTGCAACTTAGTGATATATGAGACTTTCATACTTATGATTCAATCAAATGGTGTGTATACAAACTCATAATCATATCAAACGCGCTACGAATTTTCAAGATCAGTTAACATTCGACTATTGTTGATACAGACGCGGAAAAAAGTATCAACTCAAAATAATCTTGTTAACGAGTATCTTAACGACATTGGTTAAGGAAACCATAAAAAGAAATTTTCATTTTAAAATTACAAGTTAAACATTTGTCCAAGTAATACTTACATCATTCTTCTATACAAAACTTCCCTCTTTTGATTCCTTAATCAATGTCCTAAAAGCACTTGTTAGCATTCTCCGTCTCAGAAACAACCTTTGAGAAATCGACAAGTCGACAATGTGGTTTGTCAAAGTCCTATCCATTGAAGTAGAAGTCATTTCGTGTGAGTCAGTGAGCTAACGATGGCGTAAGGAATCATTATTTTCGAAAGTTACAGAGGTAAGAACTAAGAATTGATTATCTTCAACTTTGTGGTTCCCATTCTCTTTCGCGCCTATAGGCATTAATCGAACTGATCACAACTTTTCCAACTCTTCTGTTTCTTCGCGTTCTTCTACTCATACTTTTTCTCCTTTGCTTCTCCTCTGAATCAGGCTGTGACATAGGTACCGAACCAATCCATTTTAAAGGTAGTAAAGCTGCGACGAATTGTATGAGAATTCCAACTGTCAAGCCTGAGTAATCACCGGATGTAATGCCGAGCAAAGAGGCTAATCCAACACCAAAAAAGCCACTGACTATTGACGATAGGATCAAAGCTGATGCAAGGAAAGAGGTGAGTGATCCTTCACAACCCTTTGGACATAAACTTGCGAATAGAACCGAGAAGGGAAGGAGTTTAAACTGTGCTAGAACTTCTGCTAAACCCGAAAAACAAGGAGCAAAGACCTCGTTAGGAATTCCGAATTGAAGATTTATCTGTCTAACCAAAACAAGATCAAGAAGTAGAGACGTAGCGTATAGAATCTGCACCGCGCCTATTAGCTTTCTCATTGGAAACTTTTTCCAATATCGGTTATAAAGCACGGTTCCTGAAAGAAGCGCCAACTGACCTATCACTCGAGACCAACCAATGATCATAGGATCAAGATTTAGACACTGAGTCTGATAGCAAAACACGGATCCTGTAAGCATGGGAACCGTGGCAATTGATCCGACAACCCATAAAAGTGGACGAGAAATACTTTTATCGCTAATCGCCACGATAAGATCCGAAACCTGTTTTCTGATATTCTCCGAGATGGACGGTGTTGCAAGATTTTTACTTGATGGTTTCTGTATGCCTAGCGAATTCTCTCTTGTTGAGAAAGAAATTGCTAGTTGTAGAGATAGTAACGATGAGAATATAATAAACATGATTCTCGGAGGCAGTTTCAGTAGAAAATAACCACCGATCAAGTTGCCTAAGATTCCACCTGCGGCTAAAGCCATGAACGCGTATGATTGTAGTCCGCTAATTTTGTGTTTCTTCCCGTACTCGGCTACAAGAGCATCCTTTGCAACTTCTGTAATGGATGCTCCCAAGTTACTGAGAAGCACTGTCGCAACTAAGACAGTTAGCACTTCGCGTGCAGCAGGGACAAATGTTAGGTAGTTCCATGCAAAGATCTGCAAAAGAACTGAAAATTGAACCAAATAAGTTTCTTTTTCGGGATAAAAGTAGAAATTCATTACGAAGAGAAATCGATATAGTACTCGTTCTATACCAAATTTGTAAACACATAGAGAAGCAAATTAAACATAAGGCATGGTATTGCTAACACATGAAAATAGTTATCTAGTTAAATATAAAGGACAAAATAATCAAACCAACAAAAGAACCTAACATCATACCATACCAAACCAATTCAATCCTTGTGAGTTACAAGTTCCCAGTTTTCATCTTGTTCAAGATCCTAAATTAATGAGACCATACTAAAACTAAAACCTATAGCATTGACACTTCTGATTAAAGACGTGTTCTATATCCGAAACCAACACTTGCATGGTTGTATTCAATCACTTTTATTTTCTCAATTTATCACTAGCATTCACATGTCAGTATCAGTATCGTGTCAGGTGTATGTGTATAGGTGAATCACATAGGGCCGGCATATGGTTTCACCAACACAACACAAACATATCAGTTACATGTTGTTGGAATAATATAGCAAGTGTGATTAAGTGGAAAAATAGTCTCACATTAGATAGGAATGTGGAGACTTGAGCATATATAAGTAGAAGAATCCACTCACCTATTACCTTAAGGATTTAGATGGAGAAGTGATGTGTTTCACACAAAGGGGCCTAGTCCTACACTATGTATCAATATTCCTAGTAACTCTCCCAACAAATGGTATCCGAGAAAGGGACCTAGTGTCCGTGCTCCATAGATTAAAATGTAAACATTACTCCACATAATCATGTACTAATGATGCTTAATCAATACAATTTGAATATTTAACACATTTACCATAAAACAAAAGACTAAAATAGTAAAATTTATACCTCCAATGACAATGTAAGGGATTCTATGAGCACCACCAACATATATTACATCAGAAAGAATCCCATATAGAGGTTTAGCTACCATAGGAAGATTAGCAGAATACTGCACAAGTTGCAATACTGAAGGATCCAAATTAAGATTACTAGCCATATGAAAATTAAGAGCAAGCCAAGGAAAACACCTAAACCCTTGTAACCAATACCCAAATCCACACAATATAACCATTTGTTTACTCCCACTTGAACTTGAACCCTTCTTCTTCTCCTCTTTCTCATGAACCACACTGTTTCCCTCTTCTTTCTCTTCTTTCCTCTTTCTGTTCTCTCTCACAACAAATCTTTGATGTGTATCAATGAATGTAGGAACTTCTTTTTCAATGAAGTTTCTTTGATTCTTGTGATGTTGTGAACATGTTATGATAGTTCTAGTTCTAGTTCTTGAAGGTTTTGTTGCATGGTGTTTATGTATATTTGGTTTGTTGATAACTGTAAAGAAGAGGTTATTGTGAGATGAAACTGTAAGGTGAGTCATTGTTTTTCAGATTTGAAAATTGTATAAAACTGAAAAAAAACTGAAATTTTCAATGAAGTTTGAAAATTTCAATGAAGATTGAAAAAATCAATGAAGATGAAAAACACTCATTGTGAAGAATGAATGGATGAATGAGAGAATAATAATGATAATGTAAGAGGGTGAAGAGAGGGATCTATAAGAATAGAGTGTGAAGAGAGTTCTACGAGGTTGTAGCGAGTGAGGTTTGTGTTTCTTTGAAAGTGAAACTTTTGTTGTTGTTTTGTGTTGTGTTTGGTTGTGGTGTGAATAACGAGGAATTTGGAACGGTTGTGAATGACACGCGCGGGGAGTGCGGGTGTGGGAGTTTGAGGATATGTTGGTGGAACATGGACCGTGGATTTGGATTTTTTGATTAACGTAGGAGGGTTGGTTTTTTTGGTGTTGAAGATTTTTGGGACCGTTGAAGTTATTTGATGGGACAAGTTGCAGTAATAGAGTAACACGTGTTGATCGCTGTCACGGACTTGTTTTCTTTTTTTTGGTATTGTTCGTCAAATGAAATTGGTCGACGCATGTTTTGTTTTTGGGAGGAAAAAAAAGGCCGACGTGAATACAAAGGAGATATTATGCACTAGGGATGTCTAATGGTGATCACTTAGATCTCCAAAATGTTCTCGATGTTAAATATTTTAATGAATAATGATACTTTCTTATCATAATGGATCGTTAACATTTTATGTTGAGTTGGGGTTGAAACTGAAATAATGATACTTACAAGACACTTCGATGTTAAAGTAAATTTTAGAAAAAGTGTAAACAAGTGTGAATATTTGACTCTCTTAAATAAGAGGATACTTATAGCTTCAGTACTGGTCAAGATCTTCAATGTTGGACCACGATGAGGCTCAACAATGAAGACTGTCAGAGTTTATGTATGTATGGAGTTCAACACATGAACTCCCTCTGGTCAACTGTCACGGAAAAATACATATTGGATCTGTGATTTCCAGAGGACAGTATGATGACAGACGTGTGGGGAGTTGTCCAACGATCTCCAACTTAAATTATTTATCTTCGAACTTTATACAAGAATGTTAGATTAGACCTCCCAACAATAAAGTAAATGCAGACTCAGTCTAAATCAAATAATATACATGATACTATAATTAAAATGTATAATAATTAATTACATTTTTAATAATAGACATATAAAAAATTGTGACATAAAAAAAAGCATGTTTAGATAATAGACATATCATAAAAAATTATCAAATAATTAATCAACTAAATTTTCAAATAGAAAGTACTACAGTTTAAGAGCTTTGTGCCTCTTCGTATTTGAGTGAGTTCTACTGTCTTTATTCATTATCAATCTACATCAAATTGGAGTCGGCACTTTTATTGTTATAATCATATATATATTTAAAAAAATAAATATATAAAAAAATAAAAAAAAATAAAAAATTATACTTCTTAATCGACATGGATTTGAGGTTTCGTGATGTATATTTTATTAGTTATGAACAAAATGAAATTTCCCTGCATTTTTTATATAAAAATATATATTACTAGGAAATTTTATGTCATACCTCATTATTTATCTTTTTATTTCAATATTAAATTTTCTTTATCAAAATGCTCTCATATAAATAATTAATATTTTAAAAAATATCACTTTCCATATTTTTGTTTCATAACTCTTTTGATATATACTTTTTTTTATGTCGAAACATTTGTAGTAATTTTTCTTGTTCACAAATTACACATCGAAACATATTTAATAAATTTGTCAATTCTATAATTTCACTGAAACACTTAGACTAAATCTTTCGATTTTTAATCTATATATTATAACTCATTCATACTGTCTTCTAGTTTGTTGAAGAGTTCTTCGAAACTCCTTTAAAAAGTGTTTTGATATTTTAAATTTAACACACTAGAACTCTTTCAAATTGTATTCCAGTTTGTTCTTTTTCTTTATGTGTTTTTTTTGTTATTTTGACAGTGGCGTGAACACGAGGCAAGGACGGTAGGATTTCAGAGTGTGGTTTAGAATAGAGAGCTCCATCAATGTTGGCAGGGAGCATATTGGTGTATCTGAATCTACACCACAATCAGAGTCTTTTTAGTATGTTTTGTCCTCACTTGTTAGGAAAGGAAATTATATTCTATGATTCTTGTTATTATGAGAGTTAATTGCATCCATGATTCTTGTTGTAAATATGGTAACATGGCAACTGTCATATCAGTATAATAGAAACAAAATCATCTTATTAGAGAGATGTATATGTGTATATAATGCTCTAATGTTTCTAAATAAAATACAACCAAATTATTTCCATCTTCTCCTGTTATTTTGACATGGCATCAGAGCAGTAACGATCTGTTCCATTTCCTTCCCATATTTTTTGCCTCTCATTTTTTTTTTACTTTCTAAATCATTATGGCCAATGATGGAAATAAATCTGATTCCAATAGCTCTTACTCTCTTCATCATTCCGATCATCCGGGAATGATTCTTGTTTCTAAACCTCTCAATGGTGACAATTATTCGACTTGGCGTCGAGCCACTACCATCTCATTGAATGCAAAATCTAAATTTGGTTTTGTTGACAGAACCCTCAAAGCACCATCTGTCAAAACAAAACCGGAAGACTATGTGGCATGGAAAAAATGCAATGATATGGTTTTGTCATGGATTCTTAATTCATTGACCCCTGATATTGCAGATAGTGTTATTTTTTATAACACTGCTCATGAAGTTTGGGAAGATCTTCAAAATCGTTTCTTTCAAAGCAACGCACCACGCATTTTCCAGATCGAGAGAGAGATTGCTTGCATTACTCAAGATCAAATGACAGTTGTTGCATACTACACAAAATTAAAAAAATTATGGGATGAGCTAAGATCCTACAATGATGTTATTTACACATGTGGAGCGAACAACAAAAGACGCAAGTTGATGCAATTTCTCATGGGGTTGAATGAATCTTATAATGTTGTTCGTGGTCAACTCCTTTTGATGAATCCTCTACCAGATGTTTCACAAGCTTATTCTTCCATCATTCAAGAAGAAAAGCAACGAAATTTGGGTGCAAGAAGAGAGACTATAGAAGCTTCTGCCATGGCTGTCCAAAGAGAGGAACCAATAGCCCCCGCTGTTCGACACAATTCTGGTCAGTACTCTCGTCCCAATTCCAATAATCATAAACCGCTGCATTGCTCTCACTGTGACAGAGATCATCACACGAAGGAGACATGTTGGAAGTTACATGGTTATCCACCAGGACAATCCAAGCATACCACGACAAAAAACCATCATTTCAAGTCCAACGATAATAATCAATCTTCAGCCAATAGTGTCAAAGAAACCACATCAGCACATGTTCAGCCCCTTGTGAATGGATTTACTGAACTACAATTACAACAAATTTTGGCTATTATGCAGAGCAATGGAACATCTCAATCAGCTGCTCCCAAGGCAAATAATGTCATTTTTTCTTCAGGTTTGTTCGCACCAAAATTGATAATTGATAGTGGTGCAACAAATCACATAATTTCTTCTCCATCTTTACTTGTAAACAGTAAAGAAAACACTTCTTTACCACCAGTTGTTATGCCAAATGAAGATCAAGCTCCAATTACTTATACTGGAAATTTGCCCTTGAGTTCTATTATTTATTTGAAGAATGTACTTGGGGTTCCATCTTGTAAGGTGGATTTGATGTCTTTGAGTCAAGTCACAAGTGATTTAAATTGTTCAGTAACCTTTTTCCCACAATTGTGTATTTTGCAGGATTTGATGACGGGGATGACGATTGGTTTGGGTGAACAACGAGATGGACTCTATTACTTGGTTGCAATGAATAAGTCACACAAGGTTAATACCATCAAAGCTGCCTCCACTTCAAACACCTCGAGTATCTTGTGGCATAGGCGTCTAGGACACTTATCCTCTTCCAGATTAGACTTTATAGCCAAAAATTTCCTTCATTTCCATTTCAAACAAAATAACAAGTGTACTGTTTGTGCTCTTGCAAGACAAACTAGACTCCCTTTCTCTACAAGTTCTATTTCCTCTGTTAAACCTTTTGAATTAATACATTGTGATATTTGGGGGCCCTTTAGAGTCCCTTCCCTATCTGGTGCAAAATATTTTCTGACTATTGTGGATGACTTTTCTCGTTTTACTTGGGTTTTTCTAATGCATCATAAAAGTGAGACACAAAAAAATTTAACCGATTTTTTCTCCTTTGTGAAAACCCAATTTGATACTACAATAGCAAATATTCGGGTTGACAATGGGGGAGAGTTTTTCTCTATGAGAGAATTCTTTAAACAACAAGGCACTAATTACCAACATTCTTGCATTTATACACCTCAACAAAATGGGGTGGTTGAGCGCAAACATAGACATATCCTTGAGTCAGCTCGAGCTCTTCGTTTTCAAGCTCACCTCCCTTTACACTTTTGGGCAGAATGTGTCTCTGTTGCTGTTCATATAATTAATAGGTTGCCCACACCTATCCTTTCTCACCAAACTCCTTTTGAAAAACTATATAAAAAAATTCCCTCTTATTCCCACCTTAGAGTTTTCGGATGTCTAGCTTATGCTATAAATGTTCATGTGCCCCATAAGTTTGCTCCTCGTGCCACCAAATGTGTTTTTATTGGTTATCCAATTGGTCAGAAAGCTTACAAATCATATGACATTGAATCTAATAGAGTTTTCACTAGTCGTGATGTTATTTTCCACGAGGATATTTTTCCCTACGAATCCATTTCTTCTTCACTACCTAAAACAGATTCTGTTGTACCTATTGTTGTCTTAGATTCCTCACTCATCCACCAAACGCGTGAAGAATCTAACCCTACGACTCCCGCTTTTCCAGCAGCCCCCACTCCTGCCACTCCTGCTTTTCCAGCAGCCCCCACTCCTGCTTTTCCAGCAACTCCCACTCATGCTTCTCCAACAGCCCCTCCGCGTCGTTCTCAAAGAACCCATGTTCCTCATGTAGCCTTGAGTGACTATGTTTGTAATCAAGTAAGTTCTCCCGAATCATTGCCATTCTCGCCATCTTTTCCAAGTAAAGGTACACGATATCCGATCTCCAATTTTATCTCATATGATTGTTACTCACCACAACATAGATCCTTTATTGCTACTATTACTCATGATGTTGAACCTACATGTTATGAGCAAGCTGCTTCCCAATCTCATTGGCAAATAGCAATGCAATCTGAGTTGGCTGCTTTAGAGGCTAATAATACTTGGTTTCTCACACCTCTCCCTCCTGGAAAGCAAGCTATTGGTTGTCGCTGGGTCTATAAAATCAAGCGAAAATCAGATGGTTCTCTTGAACGCTATAAAGCGCGGTTAGTAGCAAAGGGATACACACAACTTGAAGGGATTGATTACCACGACACTT